GTTTTTCATATTTATTCTTTATTTATTATTATAAAAGAAACTAAAATCTAAAAATACAGATTTTTTTAAGTTATTTAAGACTAGATTAGGTAAAATAAGTAATAATAATAATAATAATATAAATGTTTCACGTGGCATGCGTGTGAGCAGCTCGTGGGTAATGTATTTCGATAGCGTAATGTGTGCTGCACATTCGCCAAGTGATTTACAACGTATAATCACATGGACAGTAGTTAGACACAGTTCAAAGGGCAATAAAAAAATATAATCGTATATTGTTACAATCTTCAAGTTACTTAGGATAAATTAATGTAGTTTCATGTTACAATTTGAAGTCATTCCAGAAAGAAAAATAGGGGTAATTTATATTTATTTCAACTTTTTTTTGTGGGGGTTATGAGGTTGGTCAAATTGACTGATCCCATATTGAGATAGGGTGGAGAAAATAACAGATAAAATATAAAGTTTTTACTGAAAAAGAAAAACGGATGAAATGTATGTAGGAGGTTTTAGGTGTTACACAAAGAAAATTTGAGATTTTTAGGATGAAGAAAAGTATTTTTAATCATAACATGAAAATCACTTTGTATGTGGAATATTCACAACAAATACTCGATATATTGAAGAACAAATCTTTATTTTAGTTTATTAAAAATACTTCACTAAAAAATATGATTTTTGTATGTGAAAGGCTCATAATGTTAACTGAAAGACTGCTAAATTTCGTGAAGATATACACACTATATTGAGAATTATAAGTATTAAATCTATAAAGACTTTAAACGAGTACAAAAAGGTCACATGGTTGGTCAAATTGACCGAGCCTGTGTTGAGAGAGTTAAATGAATTTAATGAACATTCTCCAAAGATTGACTTAGAGATGAGACACTGCACATTTGTGGCCAGTATAGAAAATATTTATTTCAGAATCCCATTTGTTTGCAACTTGTTATTAATTATGTGCAAATACTTATAATGCAGTAGAAGTGTAAATACAATACAATTATTAGAAAAATTAACACTGAAACTTGGGATCACTACTCATTTAATTTTTTCCTTATAATTTTATGAATCTTTGTTTTGTGTAAACTTTAAATTTCTTGATTTGCCATTTCATTTTTTTTTTCTAGTGGTGGTGGGGAAGAGGGATAGATGATTGATAGATATTGTTTGTTCTACAATGATGCTGTTGACTGTGATGAACTTAACACACAAATATATTTTTATAATTATGCTTTTAACTTTATATTTAAAGAGTTTACATCAAGTGAATTGTATAAAGAAATACAAAAATGTTTAAGAAGTTCAGTACTAAAATTTAATTCAAGATTTCATCATGTTTATTTTATTTTCAGATGACAATTAAAGATATGATTTGTTCAATTTTAGGTTCGATTACCAGTTTATGAACGTGGAATGTATGCAGCTCTGAGTGGTAACCTAAAGAATCTTTTACCTGTATGTAGTACTTGGGAAGACTATCTGTGGGCTTACATGCGGGTCTTGACAGATGTTTACATTGAACAAGAGATTAGAGGATCAACTCAGCAGGAGAAAACTTTAGAAGAACTTCCAGTTCTATTCTGGGAGCAAATGTAAAATTTTAATTATTCTGTAATTAGTGCATCAAAACCTCATTACACAAGTAAACCATCATTTTATCCAAACCTCATGACATGAGTAAAACATTAGTACATCAAAAATCTTGGGGCACAAGTAAAACATTTGTCAAAATTCCAGTACACATATTAAACATTAGTATATTGAAACTTCAGTACATGAGTAACAACAGCATATCAAAAATTTTAAGACACAAGTAAAACATTAGTTTTTGAAAAACTTTGGGCACAGGTAAAACACTAGCATATCAGAAACTTCAGAAAATAATAATTAAAATTGGTGGTATATCAAAAATCTCAGGACACAAGTAAAACAATATATCAAAAAACACAGGACAAATAAAACATTGGTACATGTAAAACAATAATATATCAAAAACATCAAGGTCTTGTAAAACTAATATATCAAAAATATTAAGGTCTTGTAAAACAATAATACGTCAAGAACCTCAAGGTACATGTAAAACAGTAATATATCAAGAACCTCTAGACAGAAGAAAAACATTAGTATATAAAAATCCTCAGGATTCAAGTGAAACATTAGACTGTTGAAACCTCAGGACACAAATATTATATTAATTTATCAAAAACCTCAGGACACAAATGTTAAAAGTTTAAATAATTACAAAAACCTCAGGACACAAATGTTATATTAGCATATCAAAAACCTCAAAGTGTAAGTAAAATATCAGCATATCAATAACATAGGAAACAAATAAAAGTATGGTATATGAAAAAAAACCTTAGGACATAAGTAGAACATTAGTGTATCAAAAACCTAGGACCTAAATATAACATTGGTATATCACAAACCTCAGGATATAAATAAAACCATTAGTGTATAAAAACCTCTGGATACAAATAAATCATTAGTATATTAAAAGCTTCAGGATAAGAGTAAAACTTTAGGATACAGGTAAAACATTCAGGCATTATTTTTTTAAATTTCCAATGGCTGAAGGTTTTAAGAGTACACAAAACAATGTATTGAATAAATGTTATGGTTTTTCATAAAATTGGGTGTTAATGTCAGCTTAGAGACCTAAAACATAACAAAATTAAACTTATTTGCTTGCAACTCAATAAACATGAGAAAAAATACTATTCTGGAGTGAATTGCAAGAATAAAGTCACTTATACAAATTTAAAATCAAGGGAAATGTAACCTCTCCAATAGTTATTTTGAATTTGATAATCAATGATCTGGAGAAAATTTTCATAATTAAAGTTCTTTCATAGTGCTCTATTTTTTAGTATCAATTTGTATCTGTGATGATAAAAAAATGTATAACATTCTTAAACCCTTTCCAGCCTTATAGCAGTAATTTCCATTTCTGGCATTTGTATTCATAAAAATTAGTAGCATATACACATCACAAAGTCTGAAACACAGACACTTAACACATTAATCATTATAATCATTAAACGTTTTTCACACATTATTGATTTACAGTTTCCAGATTTTGTGACTGTATTAATTGGTATTTCTCTCTTGTTCTTCTGTTATATCCAAAGAGGTTTGTATTCAATGTTTATATAATGCTGATATAAGCAAAGCCATGTTTTTTCTTTTTTGTCTTTTTTACTACAATAAACCTACACATTTTGTGAATAGCAACAAATACAAACACAAGCTTAAGGATGTCATAGACTAGCTCACTTTGTTGAAGGAAATGTTTGCACAGAAATATCTTGTATATTTAATATAAATATATAGTAATTATTTCAATGTATCATATGTGTACGTGTTACCACTGTACTTTTTGTAGACATTGCATACAGTTGTTTCAAACAGAGCCCCTGCTAAGCTCATGCCATGGAGAAGTTCACTGTAAGACTCCATACATAGTTTCAAGTTAGAAGTTTAAACAATTATGATACATATTTTATAAATGAAGAGAAAAAAAGGCAAATACAATGCATGAAATAATATTTCAGCTGTTGGATGATATATTTGTGGTTTTGTTAGATTTATAATTTGAAAATTGTAAACTAAGGTGAACAGTTGTGTAAATATCAGTTTTTATGACAACCAAGTTGAAGAATTCACTCTTTCCAAACTATTTGAGCTATGAATAAGTAACAGACATTTTCAAAGAAAACAGGTTTGCTGCTATGTTTCACATGCAAGTTTTATCTGAACAAGTAGGAAGTGTATTTGAGCAACAAAAGTCTGAATTATGATTAACCATTTGAGATATTTTCTGTTACTTCATCTATTAAAAGTAAATGTTAAACTTTTGCCTTAAAATTCTACATATAAACATTACAGTTATTAATTTGTTGGTGATTTGAGAGGGGAGATCAGACAGAATTCTTGAGAACTTAATGTTCTCATGTGCCCTCATAAGAAAACAAGGTACTAGTCTGGAAAGAGTTAATATTTCTAATTTGTTATTTATCATTTTTACATTCTACAATGTAGTTAAGCCAATAAACACAGCATTCTTGTACTGTAACTTCCTATAGCTGAAACATTGCACAGTCTTATAATACAAATGTTTCACACAGAGAAGCTGGAATTTATGTATTCTTTTTCTGTACATATTTTAAGTAGGTTTAATAATATTATTATATTTATTTTGTGAGTATGAGCTTACATTGTTGGTTAGTAACAAAAGAATAAAGTAAAATGAAAAAAAAGCTAATGTTTTGTGATTAATACTATTAAAATAGTTTAATGAAAGATTATCCCATATCGTAAACAAACATACTGTTAATATGCACAAGATTGTTGGGATATTTAAGTTTTCATAAGTTTATTTAGAGAATTAATTTACAAAATTTAAATTTTATGTTTGAAAAAAAATTAAATGTAGATAATAATAGTTTTAAAGCTTTACCTTAAAAATATGTCTTAGCAAGTTCACTCTGAAGGTTATAATAAATTAAATAAACTTGATCAATTACATCATAATGCTAGAGTTTAGAAAGATCACTTGTTTATTCAAGCTATAGTATCTAAACTAATGGAAAGTAAAGTGGCTAGTATATATTATTTAACTGTAATTGGATGAGACCTGAAAACTGAGCATAACTAAAAGTTACGATCCAAAGTTACACCTCATGGTTCTTGTATATAACTATTTTGTGTGTGGTTGTGTCAAAAAATTAATTATTTCTATTAGAACACTTAAAAAAAGTATCTTGGATGTTTTTTTAACATGGAGAACATGGAGAAATACAAAAGTTCTGTTTAGGCATTAAGAAACAAATTATAAAATGGAAATATTTCCCTCTTAAAGAAGCATTAAATTTAGTGATATGCTGTTACAAAATGGCTTGTTTGTAACTTTCATAGCTGAACTTGTATAGTGTTGTAAAAAGAAGGTTCAGAAATTCTGCAGTAATATCAGTTTTATTTATGGCAGATAATGCAGAAATTTTACAGGTGCTATGCTCTTTATAACAATATGTATAGTTTGAGATGGTTTGGTGTGATTGAGGCACATCATTCACCAATACAGAGTTGGTCCATAAATTGAAGAGAAAGTGAAGTGATTCAGGTCTGGAGAGCATGGTGACCACTCACATGCACTCCTTGACTAGTCCACATTTGAAAATTGTCATCCAGCTGTGCCTGGGTCTTGACGGTGTAGTGGGTTAACATGGGGAAGTATACTACCTGTTGTTTACCAACTTATTATATAAGCATAATATGCTTCCATACTCAAGTATATGCATTTCTGTTAACATTGCCGTCAAAGCAAAAAAAAAACATTATTTTGTCATTGAAGATTTTGGAAGGACCATGTTCCATGTGGTTAATCATTCAATATAGGTTTTTATAGGGCCAGTAGTGGTAATTCTGCCAGTTAATGAACTTCTCTAGGTGAAACATACTTTCACCGAAGAAGGATATGACATTGAAAATCACTATTATCCTCACTCTTCTTTATCCACCCACAGAATTCATTTGCATGTCAGGGTAATCCTTATATACCACATGAAGGATTTTGATTTTGCTACCTTGCCTTTGAAATATGAATGACACTGATGTGATACACATCTCAGCTTTGTCCAGTACTCTAGCTATATTATATCTGTAACTAAGCATACAACACAAGTTTGCTTTGGTGCATGGCTTTTTGCCCACACTGTATACAGACTAAGGGATGTTAAACTGTTAGACTGTGCCACCTCAGTGTTTGTTTCACCTGGTATTCTTGTAATCTCTTTACAGATTAACACCACAGCAGATATTTCAGAAGCTGCAGGCAAGCACAGTGGAGGTAATTGTTTTTCTAGCTAATACTTGTGTTCACCTAATGTTAGAATTGAAAGGTTTTGTGTATTTACAATCATCTCCTTGTTTGAATTACACAGTTACATTCCTTCAACTGAGGATTGTTTCAGTGAAGTTTGAAAGCTTATTTATAATTCAGCTCAGCATATATATTGCTGCTTATGATATAACTGAATTCTGAGTGTCACAACTGAGTTTCCATCATACATTTTAGACATACACCACAAAATATTTATTTTTGATTTTTCTTTCTTACTAAGCGAGGCTGTTAAAATACCAAACTCTTTTATTTTAGCTATTCAGAATCATCCAATGATATGTCAGCTAAGAATCATAGCAGGGTTAGCTTCCACTAGTTTGCCTTGTTGAAGCAGCAAATTTTGCCTTTACAGTCTACAAAACATGTTACACAAGTTTTACCGTGTGCCTACATGTAAAAATTGATGCATTAATCTAAAGGCTTACCACCACATAGAAAATAATTTCATCTATATATTTCTTGAGCTGTTTACTTTTCTTTCACATATCTACAGTCTTTAAAACTGGCATAAATGACATAAACAGGAATTTTACCATATGGTATTCTACACATTTTGTTTTAATTATGACATTGTGAAACTTTTCCAGTTTTAGTTCCTCAGATGATCATGTCAGATCAGCTATTGATAAATGATTTTGTTCACTTAAACTGAGCAAATAAACTAAAAAAAAAATGACTGGATGATTAATGTTAAAAACATCTACAGCTTAACAATCTGTCAGTCTGTCTGGCTACATATGCAAAATATCAAATTTTTTGATTAAGTCTTAAGGTCTATAAAGCAATGTTTTTTTCTTGTCTATTTTTTCTTTCGCTTGTTGCATGTCTATCATGCAAAATAATATTCTAAGATTAAAGATACTTTTATGTATCAGAAAATTTCAAAATTTCACA